AGATGCCCCTTGATGTTTGAATGGTATGGGGAGAAGTATTGGGGAGCTGCACATGGATTGGCAGGGATTATGGATGTTTTGATGGACATGGAATTGAAGCCAGATGAGGTTGAAGATGTCAAGAGTACTCTCAAATACATGATCGATAATCACTTTCCTAGTGGTAACTACCCTGCTAGTGAAGAAGATAAAAACAGAGATGTTCTTGTTCACTGGTGTCATGGAGCTCCTGGAATTGCCCTCACTCTTGCAAAAGCTGCAAAGGTATTAATTTTGATGTTTACAGTTTCACTAGACACCGATTTTATTTGTCTGAAGAAGCCGTTGATATTTTTGGAGAGATGATACTACAAAGTTCAACATTCATTGACTAATTACGATTTACAACACATCAAATAGTTTAATGCATTTGACTTGAAAATAATTTATGTGCCTTTTCTGTTCAAACGATTACGAGATTCTCGAGTAATACTGGTTCTTCAGTACACTCCAGTACAGTGTTGGACTCATTGGCTTGTAATATTTAGGCAGCTTTGTAATTCATTTACTAGCCATTTATCGAACATAATTAAGGAATTCTACAATCTTGGACACAATTCATTACTTACTGAACTACAATTGAAGTTGTTTCCCGCTGAAAGTCACGTCTCCTCAAGATGACATACGGAAGGGGTTTTCATTATTTAATTCTTTATGTTATTCACTGTTAACTTGCATTTTCTTTCCTTTATGAGTTTATCTACTGATAAAGATATGGTAAACCCCAGGTTTTTGGAGATAAAGAATTTATGGAAGCAGCTGTTGATGCAGCAGAGGTGGTGTGGAAACGCGGACTGCTAAAGCGAGTTGGCATTTGCCATGGCATTAGTGGGAATGCATATGTGTTCCTTTCGCTCTACCAACTGACAGGAAATCTAGGGTTCTTATACAGAGCCAAAGCTTTTGCGTGTTTTCTAGTTGATAGAGCTCACAAGCTTATATCAGAGGGAGAGCTCCATAGAGGTGATAGCCCTTACTCCTTGTTTGAAGGGGTTGGCGGTATGGCTTATCTTCTTTTGGACATGATTGAACCTTCTCAGGCAAAGTTTCCTGCTTACGAACAGTAAACTGTGTTTGTAAGAGGGAAGGGGAAGCCTCCTTTTGTAAAATTACCGTCACTCGTTGCAATTTATACTGAGTATATATGACAACTTTTCTGACCAGGTACCAGAAAATGTACATCTCCATTTAGTTAAAACTGCAGTAGTCTCTCTATTATCTGAATTTAAGTTTCACCAGTAGCAGCTAAAACTTTGTTTTGGAGAATATTTAATCTGCTGAAACTTCTCCTTGATCA